TTTCCTCCTGCCAAGCCTTCCCACATACTCCTTCACTTGCTCTAAAGTCATGGCCTCTTTTTCTTTAAGATGTTATCACACACACGGCACACACACACATACACACACACACACACACTCCTAAATTCATAAATACAACATACTCAGTCCATATAACCTGAACGTATATAATCTCAGGGTTGACCAACAGGGAAGCTCTTCCCTGGGGAAGACCATTTTCCCCACTTTCCACATTCCTTCGTTACCCATAGTTCTTTGTTTAGGCCTGAGGCCCCATAAGCTTTCTCCCTTCCATGTTAGCATGTCTGTTGTTAGTGTCCTTGTTCAGGTCTTGTTTAGGTAACCCTGCTGATGAAACATCATGTGTATAGCTTATCTGAGATTTTTAGGAGACAAGATCTCAGAGCACACTTCCTCTGACTCTTACAATCTTTCTGTCCCCTCTTCTGCAATGATCCATGAGTTTAAGTACAAGAATTGTGTTGTAGATGTATCAGTTGGGCACCACGATCTCTGTTTTCTGCATTTTGATTGGTTGTGGCTTTTAGTAATGGTCTCTGTTGTAAAGATCAGTTTCTTTGATGAGGGCTGAGAGCTACACTTATCTCTGGTATAAGAATAAATACTTACAATGTAGTTAGGAATTATTCTGGTTCAGTAAAGTAATGGTTGTTGGTCCTCCAAGATCCATGGCCACACTAGGCCCTGGTAGTTGACTGGATTTCCAGTTCCAGGCATGATTTCTCTCTTGTTGAGTGTGCTGTAAGACTAGTTAGCTGTTGATTACTGTATGCACGCCACTACTGCATCCTTAGGGTTATTGTTACATGCTGGTCATTGTTGCATTATAGGCATCGTAGTTGGGTAGGATATTGGTTGCTTCTCTCCCTTGGAAGCTTACATGTGCCTTTTGGTACCATGAAGACTAGATCTGAGGGAGGGGCTTTCCGATCAGATCCATCTCAGGTCCTCTGGGTCCTGTGTCCAAAGTACATGGTATCTTCAGCAATTGGTACTCACCTTCTACCTCTGGGAGCCAATCAAGGGCAACAACATAGTCTGTGTTTCGGGAGTCTCTTCGACAGTCCTGACTCAAAGGGGGCTTCTCATGTTTGGTGTTGAGGCTTTTGTTAGATGATGTGTGGCTCTTGTGGGGATTATTGTCAGCCCACATGGGAAGATTTTATTTAATCTGTGTATGCATACACAAGCTTATGTGTATTAAATGTGATTTTCGGTAAATAGTCAACAGTATGATTTCTTATGACCTTTTCAGAATCCTTACTGTTATTTTACCCATCCCTCTCTCTTATTTATCTCCATTCCTCTCCCTAGTTAAAATCCCCCTCCACTTCCCTCTTTCCCCTTCAAATCATTGGGATCCTGCTGCTCCCCTATCTGCCCCTCCCCCAACAATGTCCCCCTGTACTTTCCTGGTTTCTGCAGTTACTCCAGGTTATGTATTCACATGGGAAGACTTGGGGCCGACAGCTGTCATTCATGCGTTCATGTTTGTGTCCTGGACTTTGCTCTGTTGGTCTACCCGCCTGTTTTCATGCCAGTGCCATATTGCTTTTGTCACAATGGCTCTGTGATAGTCTGGTGATCTGGAATTGCAATCCCTCCAGCCCTGTTCATTTCACTCAGGGTTGTTTTGGTAATCTGAGGTCTTTTGTGATTCCATAAGAATTTTAGGAGAGTGTTTTCTGTTTCTATGGAGAATGAGACAGTAATTTTGATTGAGATCACATTGAACATGGTTTTTGTTAGAATGATCCTTTTTTACAGTATTAGTTGTACCAATCCATGTGTGTGGGGTACCTCTCCATTTTCTAGTGTCTTTCTCTCTCTCTCTTTCCTCAGAGATTTAAAGGTTTCATTGTAGAAGTCATTGACTTCCTTGTTTAGGTTTATTCCTAGATATTTTATTTTCTTTGAGGCTGTTGTGAATAGGACTGTGTCCATGTTCTCTTTCTCTGTGGATTTATTGTTCTTGTAAAGAAAAGCTATTGATTTTTGCAGGTTGATTCTGTATCCTGCCACACAACATAATAATAATGTGTAAGACTTCCAGTATGGTCATTTTGATTTTGTAGTTTTGAACGGTGGATTTGTTTTTGTTGTGCTGAAATCCATGTCAAAACCAGTTGTATCACCCTTTTCCATGAGAAGTAGCACACTGTTCTCTGTAGCTTCTCTAAATGTGTGTCCATGTGTATCCTCGGAAGGGGATTGGGCAAATAGATTAACGGTTTTTCTTATTTTTTATGCATAATTTTTTGCTACTCTTGTTCTTTTCCATAGCAACATGGAGCTTAGCCTCTTCCAAGATAATTTTATTGCTTTCCTTTAAAAATGGAGAGTTCCAGAATTTGCCCTGAAGGCTAGAGTTAGGTCCATGCTGTGTATGGTGGTGGTGGTAGTGGTGGAGATACATTTTCTTCAGATGATGCTGACTGAGGTGCTGTGTGAGACCCCCATTTTCTCTCTGGTTTGGGTGACAGGGTACATAGAAGGTAGACTTCTGATCTCTTTCCCTGTTTTTCTCAAGATGGAGTTTGGACTAAGTGGGAGTGACTATCCAGAATCTGTGACCCCGTCTTGAAATAAAAGCCTGGAATACAATCTTAAAGCTATTCTTACAGAATAGAAAGGCAGAGCAAGTCCTCAGAGTTCTGAGTATCTGTAAACCTTTTTGATGCGTGAATTTAGATTTGTTTTGATTGTCTTTTGAAAAATCTGATAGAATTTTGTCCTCAAAGGAGAACCCAGAGTTTAGAAATCTAGGCTTAGAGAATATTTTATTTTTTTTTCAGTTCATTCTTGTAAGGCAGTAACTTATCTCTGTGGTGGGTTAGGCTCCAACTCTGGACTTTGTCCTGGGCTTGCTAACAGGGTGACTGAGGTAAACTACATTAGTCCCTCAAGCCCACTGTTCCCCTCTCTCCATAGGGATGAGAACACTGACCTTAGGAATCTGTTGTGATGGAAGGGCTCTGAATTCCCTGCTGTAGTCTTATTCTGCTGGCCGTGCATTCTGCTCCCCTTATTGGGATCTGTTCACTTCCCCTTGCAGAATTAAAATCTCTCTTGGATACTCTTTCCTCCTGAGTTGGTAGAAAGATGAGAACCAAATTTGTAAGACACTCTCAAGGACTGTATGATGTGTGGGATAGCTTCACCCTGCCTCTACTTCCTGCCATGTTGTTTCTTCTTGTTCTCTTTCTAATTTGCATTCTGGCTGTATTGAAGGCAGATCTACATAAGCCCAGTTAGAACAGGTTCTTAGCTAAGAATTAACCAAACATACAGACACTGCTGCCCCAGTTCACTTTTGTATCAGTTGTATTGGAGGGTGATGATGAAGCTGATCCCAGAGAGACTTCAGGCTCCCAAGCGAATAGTGCTCTGTTCATTGCCCCTTCTTCTAGGGTGTTGGTGATGAAGGCTGCCAGCTATTTGTGTAAAAGAACCTAAAAATTCTTAACTGGTATTATTTTTGAATTAGAAGTTGCTAGAGGAGGAGCAAAAGTCTTGAATTAATTTTCATCTCCATTGAAATTAGTCATTGTATTTTATAATATATTTTATTTCAAGTTTTTACATAGACTCTTTCTAGGGGCTATTAAAATCCTTAAGAAGTTGCTTAAGTGCAGTTTATCATGAAGATGCATTTTCACCATACTTTAATGTGTCCTTGTTTGGGACAGAGTTCTAAATCCCATTCAAAAGTGAGCACTAAATGAGGCCTGGGAGGACTGATGCTAGTGTTCTCAGCACAGTTTCAGCCCAGGAGTAGGCAGGTATGTTGAATGGTCATTGGTCTTTAAAACTAGGATTTAGTAGTAGATTGTATTTAGTTTTTATTTTAATTTTTTTTTGAGACAGGATTTCTTTGTGTAGCCCTGGCTGTCATGGAATTAGCTCTGCAGAGCAGGCTGGCCTTGAATTCACAGAAATCTGCCTGCCTCTGCCTCCTGAGTGCTGGGATTAAAGTAAAGGCGTGTGCTACCACTTTTTGGCAGATTGTATTTATTTTTATTTTATTTGTGTGTGTGTGTGTGTGTGTGTGTGTGTGTGTGTGTGTGTGTGTGTGTGCACATGTAAGAGAGAGAGAGAAAGAGAGAGAGACAGAGAGAGAGAGACAAAGACAGAGAAAGACAGGGAGACAGAGACAGAGACAGAGAATATGCCACATGTATGTGGGTGCTGAGGAGGCCAGAAAGGGTGTTGGATCCCTGGAGCAGGAGTTACAGAAGGTTGTAAGCCACCTCATGAGGGTGCTGGAAACCAAACTGGAGTCCTCTGCAAGAGCAGCAAGTGTTTTTAACCAGTGTGCCACCTCTCCAGCCTCACTGGTTGTATTAATATTAATTTTTTGGACAATTTTATCAGCTTATATCTTTTCTCTGATTGAAAGTCTACTAATGCCAATGGATGACCCAAAGATGTGGCTTAGTTCATTGGTAGATCAATGGTAGAGGACTGATTTGTATGGGGCTCTGACCATATTCTTGTCTCTTGATTAGTGCCCAGCTTAAAAGTCACAGTAAGGGGACTGGATAGATGACGACTCACTGATTAAGAGGCAGTACTACTCTTGCAGAGAACCTGAACTTGGTTCCCAGCACCCACATTAGGTAGTTGGAAACGGACTGTAACTCCAGCTCTAGGTGATCTGATACGCCGTTCTTGCCCCATGAGCACCTGAACATAATTTAAAATAAGTATTTTTAAAATGGTCTCAGGAAGGACTTATTTTCTTAGTCCTTCTCAGAATATAGGTATTATTGTCAAGGTCCTATCTGAATACCAAGCCTAGGAACTTCAGTGAAATCCGGGCAGTTTAAGTTGACCTCAGTTGCGCACTGCTTCTCACTGACTTTGCAAGTGCAGTCTTTGGAGCTCAGGGGAGCTTTGTGGGTCAGCCGCAGCAGCAGCCAATGCCTCTGTGTGTGAAGCTTATGACATCGTTCAGCAGTTCCCTTTTCTCTTTCCAGTTTTGTCAGGAGGACCGCTGCCTCAGGGACACGAGTTCGAACTCTACGAAGTTAGATTTCACTGGGGAAGAGAAAACCAGCGTGGCTCTGAGCACACGGTTAATTTCAAAGCTTTTCCCATGGAGGTAAGAGTGTTAATCTTGTAAGAATCTCATTACTTAGTAAAGAATTCAGCAAGTTACTGAAAATGCTTGTTTTAAAAGTAGATGTGTAACTCTTGAATTTTATGTTTGTGCTAAGACGAAAGAGTGCCCGGTAAATGTCAGCTTGGGGCGGCTAATGAGGCCACCTGCCTACTTTTTGGGCCCAGAGTGCACAGGGGGGTAGGCCACAAAGCAATCAGCACTCATGCCTCCTCAGGTCATAGAGAGCACACACGCACATGCACACACATATCTGAAGTGTTCCCTACAGCAATTCTTTCTTTATGAATTCATATACATTCTTCAAAACCCACTTGAAGAATTATGTCTCCATTGCTTTTTGTCTGGGTTCCGTGCCTAGGTGGAATTCATTGTCCCCTGTCTAATCTCCCAGGGGACTTGATAGTTCCCTGTCTTGCACTCACCCCATGGACTGAGGCACGCTGAATCCTCTGACATCTTTAGCTGTGGTATTTTGAGGACAAGATCTCCTATTCGTTCCAATGCTGATTCTTGTCACGTACCTGCTGCTGGGCTCATCATAAAGGTTCATGAGTTGATGAGATGTCCTTGTTGGTGTAGGACTTGTTTCTATTTCTTTCCATAAGAAATCTCGCTTCTCCCCAAGAAGCAGATGTTCACTGGGATCTAAGAGCCTTCCCCCACTCCCTCCCTCTCTCCCTTCTTCCCCTCCTTCCCTTGCCTGTTGTTTTAGTTAATTTCTAAGGCCTTACACCTTAACTATATCAGACCTCAACTTCACCTCCATGGAGAATCATGTAGACAACCATCTAGTGGACTTTCTGACTTGGGTACCTGGCAGATATTGCAGAGTAATGATCATCTAACACCTTTTGAAGACGAACTATTTTGAGATTTGCTGCAATACTAGGTTTCTTTCTCTATCATCCACACTGTGGATGTGCATCTTATTAGGTATGAACTCACTCCTGGCCAGACGCCATCTGCAGATCTGCCTCCATGATTTGAAATCACTACTGTATAACTATATACGCCATATGTGGACTGGACAGGATGACACTTGAATGTTTTTCAGCATTGTCTCAATAATTACTTAAAAATTCCCTCAGAAGCTCAAGATATCCATTTCATTCAAAACAAACTCAAGCTTTAAAAGTGCAATATGAAGCACTTCAAGGGTGGAGGGAAAACCTGAATGGCAGTGTGTTGAAGAGGGCCTGATGCAAGCCTCAGGAGTTCAGGAGGAGAAGATGGCCTTAGGTTTCTGTGGAGGGAGGTTATTCTGAGGACCTCCTTGCTCTTTGCTTTTTTCCCCTCCAAGGCATGGAGACATCCTCTCATTTCCACTGCTTTAAAACACATTTCATATTACCTCAGGCTCCTGTTCTGTCCTGAGCATACCTGAGAAAGAAGAGTGTGCTCCATACAACACCAGAGAGGAAGGAAGTTATCATGCCTAGCAGAGGGAGACGGGAGGTCAGAGGGCAGGATGGAGCAAGCTCTGCCCTCCTGTTCGGGTCTGAAAGTCCATGTCATCACTTTGTTTAGTCAGTTGCCAAAGGCAGAGGTACTAGGGGAGACTCACGAATGGAGCAGCTCAAACTGCAGAAGGATTCTGTGGCTCTGCTTGGTACACAGTTCACAACCTTGAGGAGGTTTCGTTATATTTTGGGGTCAGCAGTCTTTCCCCTTTCTGGGCAGTCAGATAGAATTTCCTGACCTAGTGTTGATGTAGGTTTAGCCACTTGGTGGTGTTTTAACTGCTCTATCCCATTAAGCAGAGGAAATGGTTTATTTTGAGTGAAGATTAAATTCTGGCAGTGAGGCTTTGCTTCTGTAGAGATATTTATATTTGGGATAATGGAATTACTGACTTGATTTTTTCCAACGTCGTTAAGGAGTGATATTTATATTCTTTGTTATCCTAGATTATCCTTGATGCAATTCCAGGGAAAATACTTCCATCAGTCATCTGTCATTTGCTTGGACTGTGTTCTATTGGTGTGTATGTGCTGTGGCTACACAGGATTTAGAGGAAGAGTGCTTCGCCACAGCTCTTAAAAATAAAGGATATAGGGCCTAGAGAGATGGCTCTATGCTTAAAAGCACCCATTAATCTCAGAGAGGACCCAAGTTCGGTTCCCGAGCACCCATGTCAGATGGCTTTCAACTACTTGTAACTCTAGCTCTTCCCTCTTCTGACCTCCTTTACGCACACACACACACACACACACACACACACACACACACACGATATTAAGAAAAAATAACAGTCTTAAAATAAAATAAAGGCTATGGATAAGGAGCTGGCTTTTGAGGAGACAGCTCTCCTGGTGTGGTGGCAGAGAGGACAGAGTATGCCAAGTGGGAGAACCTTCCAGAGTCTGGAATGGGATGGTAAATGAGTGGTTGCTTAGGTAACTCTATCCCGATCTCCAGTCCTGAACAGACATTAAGAACACCTGAAATGTGAAAATATAGCCAGCAGGATGGAGGAAGGTGAGGGACCAGGTATCCTTTTAAACACAGGATAGTCTTCACTTTCTTCCCCCTGAGGACACTATGATCTTTTCTTCTCCCTCTTCCCTTTCCTCTCCTCTTTTATCTTGCCTTTTCTTCATCCATCTTCCGCTCCTTCCTCTTTCTTCTTCTCTCCTTCTCTTTTCTCTCTTTCTCTTTCCCTTTCTTTTTTTCTCTTTTCTTTTTTTGTGGTTCCAGGTATGGAACCAGGGTCTGCGTCCTAGACTAGTGCTGTATCACTGAGCTACATCCCAGCCCTTGTGTATATGTTAAGACTCACGTCAGAATCACATATTCATGAGGTTTTTTTTCCAAATTGGAATACAGTTTTAAATCATCTTTAAAATTACTTTCCTGAATATTCAGTCTAGTGACATAATAGTAGCACACCTGACGACATGCACCTTTTTTCGGTGTGTGATTACTTCCTGAAGGACAAGGATTCTATTAGGAAAGTCCTCACCCGTGCCTATTCCTTAAAGTGTTTTTTTTTTCTTGAATTTTTCCTCTAATAGTTTCAGACTTTTAAATCTTATATGCTTTTGATCAATTTGGGGTTGGTTTGTGTACATGGTGAGAAATAAAAATTCAGTTTCACCCTTTTCCTGTGGAACCAGCACCGTTTCTTGAAGAGGTTGTCATTTCTCCAATGTGTATTATGGTGATATTTTATTTGTATTAAAATGTTATTTGTATGTTAATAAATAAAGTTGCCCGGGGGTCAGAGCTATTAGCAAGCCATAGGAAAGCAGGGCAGTGGTAGCGTATTCTTGTAATTCCAGCACTTGGTAGGCAGAGCTGGGTAAGTCTCTGTGTGTTCAGGGATACAGCCATTATTGGATACACATGCCTTTAATCTTAATACCAATCATGGAAAACCTGGAGGCCTATACAGACAGGCTGTGAGGAGGCGGTCATGTGGTTGGGTTTACAACCAATGAGAAGGCAGGACAGGACTCTATATAAAGACTTTAACACAGGGGTAGCTCTGGTTCGGAGAGGTAGGACCACCGCAGGAGGAAGGGTAAGGTTTTAGCTCTTAGCTCTGACCTCTCGGCTTTCTTCTTTGCATTGGTTCTTTGTTTCTTATTTAATAAGAAGGTTGGATACATCTACATTGTATTATGGTATCTTTGTCAAAAACCATGCAGCTGTAATTGTATTGGTTTATTTCTCAGTTCACTGTTCTAGTTCATCGATCTACTGATCAGTTTTTGTGCCAATACAAGTTTTGATAATAATACAAGTCTTTAGTATAACTTAAAATCAGATATGGGAAGCACTTCTAGGATTATTCTTTTTGCCCAGGACTGCCTTGGCTGTCTAGAATCTTTTGGGCAGCCAATTGTGATGGATAGCTTAGCAATTTGATGGGCATTGCATTGAGTCTGTGAATCTGTAGGACACTTTTGGTAGCATAGACATTTTTACTATACTAATTTTTCCAGTCCATGAGCATGAGAGATCTTTCTGGCTTCTGGTGTGTTCCTCAGTTTCCCTCTTCATTGTTCTAACATTTTCAATAAAGATGTCTTTCACTTCCTTGGTTAGTTGGGGTGATTCCAATTTTTTCCCCTCCCTAATTGTGTTTGGGATTGTTACCCTGATTTGGTTTCTCAGCCTGTTAGTTACTGGTATGTAGAAAGGATACTTGTTTTTATGTTGGTTTTGTTTCTTGAAACTTTGCGGAAGGCATTCATCAACTATGAATTTGCTGGTGGCTCTTTAGGGTCTCATGTATAGAACCATACATATTTCTCTTTTATTTCCTCCTATTTCCTTGATCTAGCTAAGACTTGAAACACAGCCCTAGCTAGTGTGGATGCTTTGGCCTTCTGTTGACTTAATGGACATGCTTTGAGTTCTTTTTCACTGGTCTGCTTTGGCTGTAGTTTGTCATGAGTGGCTTTATTATACTGACGATGGATGTTCCTTCTATTTCTAGTTTCTTCAGGGATTTTACAATGAAAGGGTAATGAATTTTGTTTCAGTCCTTTTCTGTTTTTATTAGGTTACCATGTGAGTTCCATTTTTTAATTCATCCATGTGATTTATTACATTTATTGATTTGTATATGCTGAGCCATCCCTACATTTCTGGAATGAAACCAACTTGATCATGGTCATTGAGTGATCTTCTTTCTGGGTTCTTAAGTTTACTTTGCAAATATTTTGTTGAGAATTTTTTCAGAGAGATTGACTTATAATTTTCCTTTTTTGTTGCATCTTCATTCAGTTTTGATGTCAGGGTAATACTGGCTCATAAAAAGAGTTTGGCTTCATTCCTAAATTTCTCTTTTATGCATTAGTTTGAGAAGCACTGAAGTTAGTTCTCCTTTAAATATATTAGAATTCAGCAGTGAGTCTATCTGGACATTTTATTGTTGAGGTTATTATTATTATTACTGATCCAATCTGATTATTTATTACAGATCTGTATATAAATTGTTTGATGCACTTTGGTTTAATTTTGCTAGATCA